AGAGTTTTTCCCACATTTACCTCTAGAATTCTTATGGTTTCATGCCTTATATTTAAGCCTCTTATCCATCTTGAATGAATTTTGTGAGTGGTGAGAGATAGGGGTTCTGTTCCATTCTGGTACATGTGGCTATCCAGTTCTCTCATCACCATTTACTGAATAGGGCTTCATTTCCCCAGCATGCATTGTTGTCTGCTTTACCAGATATCAGTTGGCTATAGGTGGATGATTTTGTATCTGGGTTCTCTATTCTGTTCCTTTGGTCTATGTCTCTATTTTTGTACCAATAACATGCTGTTTTGGTTACTGTAGCCTTGTAGTATAATTTGAAGTCTGATAATGTGATGCCTCCAGATTTGTTCTTTTTGCTTAGGATTGCTTTGGCTACTAGGGCTTTTTTTTTTTTTTTTTTTTGAGACAGAGTCTCGCTTTGTTGCCCAGGCTAGAGTGAGTGCCGTGGCGTCAGCCTAGCTCACAGCAACCTCAAACTCCTGGGCTCGAGTGATCCTTCTGCTCAGCCTCCCGAGTAGCTGGACTACGGGCATGTGCCACCATGCCCGGCTAATTTTATATATATACTCAGTTGGCCAATTAATTTCTTTCTATTTATAGTAGAGACGGGGTCTCGCTCTTGCTCAGGCTGGTTTTGAACTCCTGACCTTGAGCAATCCGCCCGCCTCGGCCTCCCAAGAGCTAGGATTACAGGCGTGAGCCACAGCGCCCAGCCAAGCTACTAGGGCTTTTTTCCAAAACAAAGCATAGAATTAATTTTTCTAGATCTGTGAAATATTACATTGGTATTTTGATGGGGATTGCATTGAATCTGTAAATCGCTGGGTAGTATGGACAGTTTATCAATCTTGATTCTACCAATCTGTGAGAAAGATATGTTTTTCCATTTGTTTGTGTCCTCTGCAATTTTTTTCTTTAGTGTTTCATAGTTCTCCTTTTAGAGATCTTTTACCTCCTTGGTTAAGTATATTCCTAGGTATTTTATTTTCCTTGTAGTTATTGTGAATGGTGTTGAATCATTGATTTGACTCTCAGCTTGACTGTTAGACATACTATTAATTTATGTACATATAGAACTACTATTAATTTATGTGCATTGATTTTGTAACATGAGACTTTGCTGAATTTAATTATCAATTTCAGGAGTCTCTTGGTGGAATCTTTGGGGTTTTCCAGATACAAGATCATATTTGCAGTGAAAAGTGATAGTTTGACCTCCTCTTTCCCAATTTGGATACCATTTATTTCTTTTTCTTGCCTGATTACTCTGGCTAGGACTTATTGCACTATGTTTACTAGGATTGGTGCCAGTGCACACCCTTGTCTTCTTCTAGTTCTTAGGGGAAATGTTTTCAACTTTGCATATAAACTAAAAAATATAGTGGAAATAGACAAATTCCTAGAAATCTCCCAAGACTCAATCAAGAAGAAATAGAACTCCCGAACAGACCAATAATGATCAACAAAATCAAAGCAGTAATAAAAAAATCTTCCAATAACAACAAAAAAAGCCCCAGCCAGATGGACTCACAACTGAACTTTATCAGACGTACAAAGAAGAGCTGGTACCAACACTACAGAAATTATTCTGTAACATAAAAAATGAGGGAATTCTTTCCAACTCCTTCTATGAAGCCAGTATCACCTTGATACCAAAGCCAGGAAAGGACACAACAAACAAAACTATAGACCAATATTCTTTATGAATGTAGATGCAAAAATGCTCAATAAAATACTAGCAAACTGAATTCAACAGCATGTCAAAAAAATAATCCACCATGACCAAGTGGGCTTCATCCCAGGGATGCAAGGATATCTCAACATACATAAATCAATAAATTTGATTCACCATATAAATAGAAGCAAAAACAAAAGCCATATGATCATCTCCCATATATTCAGTTCTTCCTTAATTTCTGTTAGAAAATATTTTATAGTTTTCAGTGTACAGATTTTGTACATCATTTGTCAAATTTAACCATAACTAGTTCATTTTTGTTATGCTGTTATAAATCATATTTTTATTTAAATACCTTCTTTCATTGCTAATATATAGAAATGCGATTGATCTTTGTATAATGACTTTGGAATCTTGCTAAAATCACTTACTAATTCCAGTGGCTGTTTTGTAGAATCCCTTGGATTTTAACATAGATGATCATGTCATTTCTGAATAAAGACAGTCTTACTTTTTTGCTTTACAATATAGATTTTTAAAATTTGTTTTGCTTGCCTTATTGCACTGACTAGAACCTTCAGTACAATGTTGAATAGAAGTGATGACAGCAAAAATCTTTGTATTATTTTTGATCCTAGAGGGAACATCTAGTTCTTCATCACTAAACATCACTAAGATGTTATCTGTAGATCTCTTATAGATGCTCTTTATGAGGTTGAGGAATTCTCTTGCATTTCTAGTTTGTTGAGAGTTTTTATCAGAAATGATTTTGTCAAGGGGTTTTTCTGCATCTATTGAGATGATCATATGGTTTTTCTTTTTTAATTTGCTAATATCATGAATTATATTGGTGATTTGCATATGGTGTTTTTTAAATGTTAAACCAAATTTACAATCCTGGAATGACCACTTTGTCATTATCCTTTCTATATGTTGGTAGAATTGTTTTGCCAAAATTTTTTTCAGAATTTTTGTGTATATATTCATGAGGAATATTTGTCTGTAGTTTCTTTCCTTCCAATGTCTTTGCCATATTTTGGAATCAGATTAATGCTGGCTTCAAAGAATGAGTTGGGAAGTACTTCATCTCTTCAATTTCCCAGAAAACTTTGCATAAAATTAGTATTATTTCTTCCCTAAATGTTTCATAGAGTTCACTAGTAAAGCCATCTGTGCCTGGAATTTTCTTTATTTGAAAATCTTAAATGAAAAATTTAATTTCTTTACTAGACACAGGGCTTTTGAAGTTATTTATTTCTTCTTGGAAAAACCTTGGTAGTTTGTGTCTTTTCAAGGAATTTATGCATTTTATTTGGGTTTTCAAATTTATTGGTATAACATTGTAATATTTCTTCATTATCTTTTAAATATTTGTAGATACTATAGTGGTGTCACCAATATCATTCCTGATATTGGTCATTTGTTTCTTCTCTTACATTTTCCCGATCAGTCTGGCTAGAGACTTATTTTGTTAACCTCAAAAAATAATATTTTATTTTATTGATTTTCTTTATTGATTCTTTGTTTTTAAAATCCACTGATTTCTACTTGATCTCTATTATTTCCCTTCTTCTGTTTACTTTGGATTTCATTTGTTCTTCATTTTCTAATTTCTTAAGATGGAACCTGAAGTCACTGCTTTGAAACTGCTCTTCCTATCAGCTATAGGCATTTAATACTTCAATTCTCCCATAAGAACAGCTTTAGCAGCATCCTACAAATTTTAATATGCTGTGTTTTCATTTTCATTAAGACCAAAATACTTTTTAATTTTACCTTTTATTCCTTCTTTCATCATGAATTATTTAGAAGAGTGTTATTTAATTTCCAAACTTTGGAGATTTTCTAAATATCTTCTGGTATTGATTTGTAATTTAATATTATTGTGTCAAAGAACATACTTTATATGATTGAATACTTTTAATGTATTCCAATTTGTTTTATGGCCCAGAATGTGGTCTCTCTTGGTAAATAGTTTTGAAAAGAATGTCTGTTCTGCTATTACTAGCTAGACAGTGTTCTGTAAATGTCAATTAGGTCCAGTTGGCAGATTGTGTTCTTCAAGTCTTCTATCTACCTACTGAGTTTTTTATCTATCTGTTTACTCAATTGAAAGAAATATTAAAATCCCTGACTCTAATTGTGGATTTATTTCTCTTTGCAGTTCTATCAGTTTTTACTTTGGGACAATCTGTTATTAGGTTCATAAATGTTTAGGATTTTTATGTCCTCATGATAAACTGATCCCTTTATCATTGTTAAATGACCTTATTTCTCCTTGGCACCATTCTTCTCCCTGAAATCTACTTCCTCTGATATTAATATGACCTCTATAGCTTTCTTTTGATTAGTGATACCATGGTATATATCTTTTCATTCTTTTACACTTACCCTATTTGTTCTTTATATTTAAAGCAAGTTTCTTATGGGCATTATGCAGTTAAGGTCTTGTTTTTCATTCCAACCATATAGGCATTATACAGCTATGGTCCTGCTTTTTAATTAAGCTGTTTAGATGATTTATGTTTAATATGATTATTGATATGATTAGGTTTAAATCTATCACCTTGCTATTTAATTCCTATTTGTCTTATCAGTTTACTGTTCCCCTTTTTCTCTTTTTCTGTCTTCTTTTGGATTAACTGAGTTTTAAAAATTATTTCATTTGTCACTTTTGTTGGCTTTTAAGCTGTAATTCTTTGTTGTTTTAGTGGTTGTGTAGTGACTGCCATCTTCTTAGATAAGCTATAGGATTTCTTTGCTATGTCACTGCCTACCTTCTAAAACTTTCACAGAAATAACATGTTTTGAATATCTACTATGTGCCCAGTACTTTTTAACACTTTAAATATATTAGCTCATGCAATACAACAATACTATGAGGTATGGACTACTACTCCCATTTTCCACATGTGAAAACTGAGGCTCAAGAAGTACGTTACTCATGGTTACACAGCTAGTAAGTGCCTGAGCTTGAATTAAGCCACACTTTCTGTAACCCTGCGTCTCTGAGCCTTAGTAAATTTAGAGTGGTGATTTTGAATCAATACTGTATGTCTGCAGTGGACTGATACCCGTCAGTGGCTGAACAGCAGGGGGTGAGTGGCAGGCAGGCTAGCAAAGCTTCCTCTGTATTTACAGCTACTCCTCGTCGTTCCAATCACCGCCTGAGCTCCGCCTCCTGTCAGAGCAGCGGCATTAGACTCTCACAGGAAGGCAACGCCTACTGTAAACTGCGCATGCGCGGGATCTAGGTCGCACACTCCTTGTGAGAATCAATGCCGGGTGATCTGAGGCGGTGACGTTCGCAATGGGCATCGGCTGCAAATACAGGTTATCATTAGTAGAAAGGTTTGACTGCGCAATAAATGTAAAGTGCTGGAATCATCCTGAAACCATGCCCCCACCCCAGTCCGTGGAAAAATTGTCTGCCATGAAGCCAGTCCCCAGTGCCAAAAAGGATGGGAACTGCAGCTGTATGTGGTAACTGCCCCTTTTGAAATTTAGTTTTGTGTTACTGTTTTTATTGTTATTGTTTTAATTCACAAACCTGTTTGTGGTAACTTAAGAATTAAGGATTTCCTTGCATTTTTAATTTTATGTGATTTGGAAAATTGCCATACCACATGGCTCATTGCAGGGCCCTCTCAGTTCCTGCAAAGTAATCCATCGGGCGGAAACCACAGCATTTATTGTTCTAAATAGCTCTGAGGCCATTTACCAACTGTATCAGTCTGAGTTCTTAAATCCTCCCCAGAACTGATTACTGAAAAGGTATAATTTATTTATATTTTTTAAATGTGTTGTTTTCCCATTTAATATGGTTGTATATTTTCTTTTTTGTCAAGAAGATAATATACCGAAATACTAAATTTTCCCAAATTGCTCATTGATTTCAGTGGATGTCTATTTAGCAGGTGAGTATATATTAATAACAGCGGTTATCAAAATGTGATCCACAGATCCCAGTGGCAGGGGGACCTGCGGGGTGTCTCTGAGACCCTTTTGGCAAAACGATTAAGTATTTTTTACCATAACACTAAAAAGATATTTGCTTTCTTTGCTGTGTTGACATTTGCACTGATGGTAAAACGGCTATGATGGATGGTGCCTTAGCAGGAACTCCAGGCTGTATTAGCAGTCATTAAATGCTTCACCACAGTGCATTCACAGGGAAAAAAAAAAAAAGATGGTTTCATTTAATATCCTTGATGGAGCAGTCAAAAATTATTAATTTTATTAACCGTTGAACATTGATTACATATGTTTTTAATCTTCTGTGTGATGAAGGAGGAAGTATGTATAAAGCACTTTTTCTGTCTACCAAAGTATAATGATAGTCTCAAGAAAAAGTATTTGTGTGGTTGCCCTTGAGTTGTGAGCTCAACTAGCCTCTTTTTTTTTTTTTCCAGTGGAACATCATTTTTACTTGAAAGAACAACTGACAGACAATTATGGTTATTTAGAGTTAGATGTTTGGCAGATGTTTTCTCAAAAATGAGTGAAGTCAGCCTGTCAATACAAGACATACATACGATTGACAGTATTTGTTGCCAATGCTAAAATTTCGGCTTCCCAGTGAAAATGAGAACTTTGGAAAACCTGTATCTGTCACCATGCATGTGATAGCTTCTTAATAAAGCCTCCTCTGAAGAATTGGTAGTGATATTGAAAAATTTGATTTTTTTATGTTGTATAATGAAATATATCAACATTTGGAAAATCTGCATAACTAAGTCAACCAATATCTTCCAAATGGCCAATGCACGATATAATCATGCCTGAGTAAAATTTCAAGATACCTCCAGTTCTGTTCTTTTTGCTCAGAATGGCTGCAGTTATTCTGGGTCTTTTGTGGTTCCATATAAATTTTAGGGGTATTTTTTCTATTTCTGTGAAGAATATCCTTGGTATTTTGATGGGGAGTGCATTGAATCTGTAAATTGCTTTGGGTCGTATGGACATTTTAACAATTTTGTTTCTTCCAACCCACAAGCATGGTATATCTTTCCCTTTCTGTGTGTCCTCTTCAATTTCTTTCATGAGCATTTTATAGTTTTCATTATAGAGATCTTTCACTTCTTTGGTTAAGTTTATTCTTAGGTGTTTTATTTTATTTGTAGCTATTGTAAATGGGATTACTTTCCTGGTTTCTTTTTCAGATGGTTTACTGTTGGCATATAGAAATGCTACTGATTTTTATGTTGCTTTTGCATCCTGTAACTTTAATTTGTTTATCAGTTCTAATAGTTTTTTTTTGTAGAGTCTTTAGGTTTCTCTAGATATAAGATTATATGATCTGCAAACAAGAGTAATTTGACTTTTTCTTTTCCAATTTGGATGCTTTTTATTTCTTTCTCTCATCTAATTGATGGATACTATTGTAACAGAGTACAAAATGATCATTGATGTGAATTCAGAGTCTACATTGCAACTATCACTAGTCAGGTTTTGGTGTAGCATTAAAAAAGAGTATCTACAATTACATGAAAAGGCTACTCAAATACATTCCCAAATACATATCTGTGTGATGCCAGTTTTCTACATACACTTCGGCCAAAGTAACATATTACAACAGATCAAATGAAAAAGCAGGTATGAGAATCCAGCTCTTATCAGGTCAGACATTAAAGAGATTGGCAAAAAATGTAAAACGATGCTATTTTTTCCCACTAATGTCATTTTATTTTGGAAAACATAGTTATTTTTAATAAAAATATTATATAATGAATTTATTATTTTAATGAATTAAAAAATTAAATAGTTTTAGATTTCTCAGCTTTAATTTCTAATGTGATAGCTATAACCCACATAAACAAATGCTTTTTGGGGTTCCCAATTATTGTTAAGACTACAAGAGGATTCTGAGACCAAAATGTTTGAGAACGCTTGGTGTCAATCTCCCAGCTCACACTGAGCCCTCTTCTCTAATAATTGTCCCCCCTCATGTTGATTTATCCAGGCTGTGGTCCTTATCCTCTTTCCTGGATCGGTGGATTGAAGGATAGAGAGATCGATGGAAAGGGGTGTGGCACATGGATTTGGACTCCATTTTATTTTCCTCTTATAATTCAAGCTGGTCCAAAAGAGTGTTGGTGTCTATCCAGTGCCTGACTCCATAATACATGATGTAAGTTACCATAAAAGTACAACTTTCCACCTCGTGGAGAGAACAAAAGAAGTTGGTTTGCAGACTGAGAAGAAAATAAAGCAGATATACAAAAAGGGGTAGAGTGGAGAGACAGAAAATAATGCATAAATTTCCAGGATTTCCCACAGACCTGCAATCCCTTGTTCTAGTTTATGCCTAAAGACCAGCTTCGGTTCTATGAAAGAGCCTACTGTCATAGTGCTTAATATTATCTCTTCCTTTAGCCAGCTTGAGTGGGCTTCTTTTACTTGCAACAACACTGAATCATTTACAGCTAAGTAGGACACATGTGATCTGTTATCAAGCTCTGTAAGGTTTATGATGTGCTATATACATTTTAGGGTCTGATTAGCTAGAAATACAAAGCCAAAGTTTCCTGGAAATGCAAAGATACTATTTCTATATTTAAGTTAAAAAGAATTACCATAGGCTACACATAGATTAATTACTATCTTCAAAGAATTAGAACTCTATCAAATATTCTTACCACAAAATTATGCTGAACAAAATTTAATCTTTCTGTGACTGTTCAAAAGAATTTAGAATCTTGTAATGCTCCAGGGACATTACCATTTCATAAATTGCACAAAAAATTCTCATTATTTCAGCTTTCTGGTAGTTTGGATTCAGAATAAATGGGAATTTACTGTAATACTCTGAATTATTAAGTTCTGGGGAACTCAAAGTACTACTTCAAATATACATGCATTATATCACTTATCTTTCTCAACAGAAGAATAAAATTTACAAATGGAAACAGTTAGTAATGGGTGGATTCAGGATACAAAATCATGTTTCTTAATGTTCTAATGAATAATCCTTCCATTTGTCTATTCCAAACTGATACTGGCTTCCTTTTCTATTTCAAAATATTATTTTTTTAAGCTGAAGATCAAATAGGACTAAGGCCAGCAACAAAGAATATGAGCTATAGTTTTATTGTATTATTAAGTACACAGTGATTTGATTATAGGTTTCAACTCATAAATTTTCAGTTGAAGCTGGATCCTGCGGTTTATTTTCACAGAAGAAAAAATACTCAAGCATAACGGTAAAAAATCAAATACATTTACATATATTCCTGGCTTTCATCAAACTAAAAATATAGTTTAAAACTACAGTCCCCAAACCCCGGGCCGCAGACCGGTACTGGTCCTTGGCCTGTTAGGAATGGGGCCGCACAGCGGGAGGTGAGCGGCAGGGGAGCGCGCAAGGCTTCATCTGTATTTACAGCCGTTCCCCATCACTCGCATCACCACCCGAGCTCCATCCTGTGTCAGATCAGCAGGGGCGTTTGATTCTCATAGGAGCGTAAACCCTACTGTAAACTGCACGTGTGAGGGATCTAGGTTGCACGCTCCTTATGAGAATCTAATGGCTGATGGTCTGAAGTGGAGCTGAGGTGGTGATGCTAGTGCTGGGGAGCAACTGCAAATACAGATGATCATTAGCAGAGGGGGTTGACTGCACAGAGACCATAATACATCAATTGCTTGCAGACTTATATCAAAACCCTATCACTGAATGGCAAATGACAATGTAATAATAATAGAAATAAAGTGCACAATAAATTCAATGTGCTTGAATCATCCTGAAACTGTCCCCCACTCCCCAGTCTATGAAAAAAATTGTCACCATGAAACCAGTCCCTGGTGCCAAAAAGGTTGGGGCCACTGGTTTGAAATGTATAGGAAAAAAAATAAAATTTTTTAATGAAAATATTTTTTTTTGCTGTAGCTTTCAGCCTCCACATCAGTATAGTAGTTTAATTTTCTACTTATAGATTATCTATGTTCCAATATGTATACTTAATACATAAATGACCCTCTTGCTGCCAACCTCCTTTCTGAATATCTCTCCTTTAAAATGTAATTAGTTTCTTTCTGCTACTAAAAAATTTAATGCTCTCAAAAGCCAAAGCTTATTTCTGTATTTCCTGCTGTTTTGGAGTATCTGTACCTTTCCTCCTGCCAGTTAGCATGGATAATCAAAAGTGAACTGTGAGGAGAAATCTTCCATTTAGGAAACATCAATTTGTATTAAGTCTAAACTAAAAGATTAATATGGGGCAAGTGGCACATTCAATAGGAAAATGGCATTTAAATATTAATACTAGATAAATACACTCATGCAGCTATCTTTGATAATTTATAAGTTATACACTTCTAGGAGGAAGTAAGTCACTTTTTTCTTTTATGCCATTACTCAGTAACGTTATATAGCAACATGTAAAACTAGGCACCATTTTCCTAGTCAGAACTGACAAGGAGAAGTGAAAATTTTGGGTCCGATTTCAACCTCATTTCCTTACAGCCTAGATTTGTG